GGCGCGCCTCAGAGGAAATTGGTCATTATTTGCAGCTCACAGTTCACTGAGGGATAATTTATGTATCTTGATCCTCACACTTAGATATAACATGTACATAATTCATAAGCTTTGGCTGATAGACTGTGAGCTCCTGTTTGCTGGGAAATAAGACTCAACACTCCCAAGTGGGATATAATGGCCAGAGGTGTGGCCATTAATTTTAATAGCAAACTTAGAAAACTTAAATTACAAATAAACCAAAGTATTAGCCCAGCGAAGGCGAGGGAAAAACCACCTAAGCCCGCCATGAGGAACGAGTGAAAGGCAAATTCCCTTCACTTGCTGAGAATGCTGCGCAAAAGAGAAGGTGGACCACATTTAGCAATATCTATATCCCGAATGACAGAAACTTCCTCAGCCAAGCAAAGTGCTGGGTATAATTACCTCACAAGCTAAATAAAATCATTTTTTGGTTAAAATAAATTCCCTATTTGCTGCTTTCGCGTTTTGAACTCCTGAAAAAAAAACAACACAAAACAAAAAACAATGAATTGAGCCCCTTTTTAGTTTTTAATAAATTGAGATTCATAACGTAGTCCTCTCTTCTTCAAAAGCCGTTGAGATGTTGTTGTTTATAGTGGTCAGTGATACAATTCGAGATTAAAGCAAGAGAAAATTGAGCAGATAAGAAAATGGACCGGATAATACATTTACATGTGGGTTGAACATGACTCAATTGGCTTAAATTATATACATTTAAATAAGTTGGTTGTATTTGTAAGTTGTATTTTTAGGTATTAGCCTTTTCAATAAGCATAGAACAGTCATTTGTTACTATTTGTTATTATATAGTGTTTCAGCTTAGCTATATGCTACCCCTTTACGGATCAAGTTAAAACGTTCATGTCATACATTAAGTTACAACGAGTACGTGGTCTTTGTATTTAAACTGCGTCAAGCTACATTTATTTCAGTATGGGCAATGTTCATTGTTTGACAACTTGCACAAATAATGATGACTAGAACTGTCAAACTGAGTGCCAAAAAGACAAAAACAATCACGAAAGCCATTACTAAACGCCCAAG